TTTTCAAAGAAATTAATAAAACATAAAAAGATGAGAAAATCTTTTTATTTCAATGTGTATTCAATTCAAAGACGTATTCAAGATGAAAAAAGTTTCATAAGATAAATAGACAACGTTTCTCAAGCAGTGGGGGTGCGCCCCCTAGGGAGGCGTCATAACTCTACTAGGTGGCGTGAGCCTATTAAAAAGTCGAAAACAACATTTAAAAAACATTATTAATTTATTGAAAGCAAACAAGCAAAATAAATTTTTACAAAATAAAATACATATTTACAATGATATAATACACTTTTAAATGTACCTGTACTGTACAGAGTATTTTAAAATTAAATTAACAACACACTAAGAACAAATTTAATAATTACAAGTTATCCTATGCACTTGTCATATATAACATTATATACAAAAAACACTTACCTTGATAATTTGTACGGTTCATAATTAATCCCTTAACTACCGTTTAAAAGGTATGCGGTTCGCTCCCCTATGAAACCGTTTTTCACGTAGGCGCGTGTATTAGAGAGGTGGGGGAGAAAAGGAATAAATAAGCAAATCTTCTGACATAAGTAAATCCTTCGTAAATAGTGTCAAAGTCTTTTTTTTTTAACATTCCAAAGCCTTCGGAATAATTTTATGGATAACAGTTCATAGAAAAAATCGTACTTCGGAAGGACGTATATATTCGTCCGGGGCAATTAACAATTTGGCTAAGTGAGACGTTTATATACGCCAGAAGCAGTTAAGAGGTTAATGTATTGCAACCTTAGCGTCCAAGTATAGTACACTGCTGGACAATTGCTAATGACGGGTCACAAATTGCTATGTAGCATAACATTAAGCGAGACATGAGGCCTAGTAGGATAAAATATAGTTGCCACACTGTTCAGACATTAGAATAAAGAATATTTATATTCTGGAAAGTACAAAAGCTGTGAAACATCTGAAAGAAAAAAATGTTCATTTGATCTGCGTACGGAGAAATGGAACAATGCATCTAAAAGTCAGCAGGCACCTTAAAGAAAGGTATCAGTACGGGATATTTCCACCGTGGAGTGTGATGCAACATTCCACACGTCGTACCATACTTTGCACAACATTATCCAGCAGCTGTTGAGGCAATTTATCGCATTCCTCTGTGAGTGCACGGATGGGGGTGTTCTTGTTTGTCGCAGGATAGTTTCGACCAGCAACTTGCCTCCCCAAAGCATCCCACACATTTTCAATGGGGTTTAGATCTGGAGAACGCGCTGGCCATACGAGACGTGAATACCCTCGCTGTCTAGACAATCCTGAACAGCGAGTGTTCGATGACATGTTGCGTTGTCGTCCATAAAAACAAATTTATCACCGACAGCACCACGGAAAAGACGAACATGAGGAAGTAGAACTTCATCAATGTATCGTTGGCCCGTCATAGTCCCATTCGCAACCACATGTAGGCGCGTGCGGACATTGATCATGATGCCGGCCCACACCATAATACTGCATGTCGGATATCGGTCCTTTTCCTGGATATTTTCTGGACGATAAGCAGTACCACTCTCGCGCCAGATCAGTTGGCATCTACAATCCGATGACAAACTGAACCTACTCTCATCTGAGAATAGTACGCATGCCCAGTTCTGTTCAGTCCAATTGTGATGCTCACGACACCATTGCAAACGGCCAGTACGGTGCTGTATGGTCAATGGGACACACACAACAGGTCTGCGTGCGTATAGTCCTCCTCCCCTCAAACGTCTGGCAACAGTTTTTCGGGAGATCTGCTTTCCTGAGGCAGCGAGAAACTGATTTGCCACCTGCTGAGCTGTGGTGCGCCTGTTCCTTTTTGCTGATAGGACGATATATCTGTCTTCTGCAGGCGTTGTACTTCTAACACGACCTCCACCGTGCTGTCTACTACACATTCCAGCAGTTTTAAATGACTTCCACAGCCGTGAAACAACGCTGTGAGCGATGTCGAACTCCCTGGCAACATCTGTTATTTTTCGCCCTTCTTCGATCTTTCCAATAATTCGGCCACGCATAAAAAATCATCTATGTGATGTCGGGAAGACATGCCAAAAATTTTAAGTTCGTCTATTAAATCTTTCCTGTAAAACTTTGACTTGAAACAACAACTGTCCACACGCGTCAAAACCTTTAAAGCTCTTATGAACGCCATCACGTGATGAACAGACGTGGAAAAAAAATTTGCATACTCATACTTCTTACTAATATTCCACACTTATTCTAATTTTCCACATTTTACTTCCTTTCATTTTGTGGTTGTTATGGATGATAGTGTTATCCGTCCTTAGCAATTGTCCAGCAGTGTATTATAGAATTCAATACATTGTTATTTTATGGAGCTAGGGTTGCGATGAGAAAATTATGATTGAATATTGGATCATAAATACTAAAAGTTTGAAAAGTCCTTTAGTAAGATTAAAAAAAAATTTCAAACCTTTATTAAAATTATCATTGGAAGTACATTTCGAAGAAATTGCTTCCATTGAAATGTTTTAAAATATATCTCTCATGAAGTATAATTTTCTGAATTACATTTCATTATAAGGAGTTTGGAGTGAAAATTGTAACTGATTATCGTCATTATATTTCTTTTTTCGTGTTTTTACCCTTTCATAGTTTCAAAATACATTTTTGAGAAATTTATGTTATGTATTACTATTCTTATATATCGCATAAAATTAAATGAGTTAATATTAATGCCCAACGTGGTACGTTGAATAAAGTCTGTAATATCTTTCTCTTCATCTTTCAAATTTCAGACTCGCGTAATAGTAAAATGAATTTAAAGAAGCTATTTTTCATCGCTTAAAATTCAAGATTTCAAGCAACATATAAATCCATATAATATTTATATATTAATTTCCTCAGATTCTAAAATGTTATTTCATAAACCTTTTTATGAGCAAAAAAGAGGGGAAATAATAAACTCTAGGGATTTTTTTAGTTAGCTTTTATTTCAAAATACTTTTCGTACCTCTTGGGAACAGAGAAAGAAAAGTTAAGTAATTACTTATGAATAAAGTATTTTTCTTGAAATCCCGTAGGTTTTTTTTCTTCTCCTCTTTCTTTTATTTACTCATGCATTTTTATCACTGATAAATAAAATGTTCAAAAAAAAGAGTGGAATTTTTTATTTTTTGAACAAAAATGTCAGTGAAAATATATAAAAGAGGATTCAGGGTGTGAAAGAGTGAATCGTAGTGAAAACAAAAGTAAAATCTTAATTAATTTTGTAATTAAAATTGATTACATGGAATTTTTTTTTCTCCACGTGGTATAATTTTTAGGTTTTTAGGCACATAACGGAAAAAGATTATTTAAGAAAAATATTTGATATGTTTTTTTTCTGTAGCATTGGAATAATTTGCGGTAACAAAGCCTTATACGAAGAATAATAAAGCATATTGAATCTGAGGAAATGGCTTAATGTATTAAGTAATTAGGCGTTTTTATTTTTGTTTATATTCTACGCCTGATTTTATGTACAATTAAGGATTACTTATATTTTATTACGATACTTTTTTTCAAGTAATTTGGGAATCAAATATTTTATTGCTGGCATAAAAGCAGAAAGTGAACATATTCGTGATGAAAATATATTGTTATGCATTGCTTTTAAAGGTAACTAGCTGTTACCTACTAGCTGGGTATTTCATGACATTATTACATTTACCAGGGTTATACATTATTTTTCAATTCAGTACATATATCTTGTTCAAATTTTCGATTGGTAATAAAATACTTTTTATTCAACTAAAGTTCAAGCAAAAAAAATTTAAAATTGTAGTGGATGACATTCGATGCTTCAAATATTAATTCATTAATGAAATGTAATTAATGAATAAATTGTAACAAATAAAAAAAAATAGTCCAAGACCATATATAAGGAAAATCGCTCGTTGTGTCCCTGTAGTGCGCAGTGGTCTTCAAACTTTTTCAACTCACTGAGCCCCTAGAACTTGAAGGTGCTTTTGCGGAACCCCTAGAACTAGCAAGTATTTCTGTGGAACCCCATTCCATACACATACTTCGAAGAATGTATCTCAAAACAATATTTAAAATAGATAAACATGTTATAGGCACTTTATGTAAAGGCAATTTAAAAAAAATACTTCATTTATTATTAAAAAATTCTAATCTAATTTTTTTCAATATAATTTACTCAGCAAAAATATTAAATTGTGATCCAAGTATCTCATCTATCCATGCATTATATTTATTAACTAGGATATATACTGACTTTTTTCACACAAACTGTCGAAGTCTAGGTCTATTAATATTAAATGGAATTGCTTTACTTATTCAGAGTTTAATTTGTTTTTATACTTTGTTTTTGTAGCCACTTACGTTGAGAAATATTTTTCACTTAACCACGACATTCTGAATGGCATTAAAATGATTATAGCTGTGGGAGAAATCCTATGTATTTTGCATGAGAGAATTTGTAACTTATAAAATTTAGAAGCTGTTCTTGTTCAAATTTAGATTTTAATATCAACTCGGTTGATATGTTGTTCCCTTTCCTTCATTATAGGTGTTTTCCACAAATGTAAAAAAGTGCATTTTCCAAGCGAAAACTATTTAGTTTTGCAAGATATTGTATTAACAAACGAGCATAAAATTATTTCGTGGTATCCGAGATAGTATACACAATAGAATATTCACTATCTAGTAGGAGAAGTATATATATCAAGATAAAACATTTTAACGTTCTTTTATTATATTATAATAAAAGTTTAAAAAAGATGCAAAATAAAGTTATTATATATAAATAAAATATTTTCTGCTTTAATGAATACGGGGGAATAGCTTTAGATACTATACTTTTTATACTTACTATATATACTATACTTTTATACTTACTATACTTTTTATAAGCTTCATAGAGAACGTGAATCCATTTTGCATATATATTTATTTCTTCTCGACTTTGTTTTTTGTGACTCGTAGAACCCCGGGGTTTCGTGGATCACAGTTTGAAGACCAATGCTGTAGCGCAATGGGTAGCGCTTTGGACTTCTAATCCAAAGGTCGTGAATTCCACCTGGGATAGCCTAAATTCTGAGAATGTGATTTATTTTTACTATACTATTTTGTTAGAATAATTTTAAATTTAATTAATGAATAAATGGTAACAAAGAAAATACAGCCCAATACCCTATATAGAAAGAAAAATAAAAAATTGCAAGGAAAATTGCTGTTTTTATTTTGTCACTTAATATTGTCATTCTGTCATATGTATACACATATTTATATTAATTGTAATTATTTAATAAAAAGTTACTAAAATATAATTCTCTTTGTTGACCTATATAAGTAGGAATTTACTTTATAAATTATTATTTTTTAAATTACTTGTTATAGTTATCTACGTCCTGGAATAAAGCCATAGATTCTATTGAAAAATATTCTTACAGCACTCGCTTCTTGATTTAAAAAGACAAAACTTGAATTACTAACACAGAAGTATATCTAATATTTATCCCCCTTCCTCGTACTTAATTTGCACAAACACCATTTTTAGCGGAACTCTACTCGTTAAAAAAGACCCACTTGACAAATTTCAAGTCTGTAAGCCTAATTTTTCTAAAAAGAGAATTTTTTTATATCTAGAACGACGCGCAAAATTTTCTTGGGAGCTAATTTTCATAAAACTCATTCTTAGTGAATCTGTATTCCTCAGAAGAAACACGTTTACAAATTTCAGGTTTGTGGTACACTGTTAGAACTGTTGCGTTCTCAGTCTTTGTAGTTACAAAATGTCCTGTTAGGTGGTGTTAGTTGAGAGTCTCCAATGACTGTGTGTGTGTTAGCCTACTCACGTCAGTCTGAGTTAAGTGGATTGTTTGTACTTAGTTGTGTGCATTCCTGCTTCAACCCTTTAGCTGTTAGTAAGTTGGCCGAGTACGAAGAGTTTGTGAGCAATTTTGCTTTCTGTTAGAGAAAACTGCAACCGAGACCGTTGATATGCTTCGGTAAGCCTTTAATGGTGATTCTTTGGGGAAATCATAGGTCTACGATTGGGTTTCGAATTTTAAATTTGGTAACTTGTCAACTGAAGACAACCGAAACACAGGAAGTTTTTCGACAAGAAGAAAAGTTAAAAACATTGCTAAGATTAAATGTGCAGTTGATAAAGATCATAGAAAGACCCTTGACCAAGTATATGAAGAAACGTACGTGTCATGGAGCGCATGGTACGACAACTTTTTTCCGAAGACTTATCCACACGAGACTGGTGTCTACTAAATTTCTTCCTCGGCTGCTCAGAGATGACCAGAGAGAAAACCGCGTGGATTTTTGCCATGACTTGTAAAGTGAAGTGCAGAATGATCCAAATTTTCTTAAACAAATTGTAACTGGGGAGGAGTTTTGGTGTTCCTTATACTATCCAGAATCAAGGCAAGCATCGAGCCGTTGTAAAACTTTTAATTCACCACGACCCAAGAAAGCACGTCAAGTGCGAATCACTGTGAAAACAATGTTGATTTTTTATATGAATGACATTATTCACAAAGAACTCGTTCCGTAAGAACAAACAGTGCACGAAGATTTTCCCTAGACGAGTTATGACGATTACGAGAGAGTGTGTTACCACAACGATCCAAAATGTGGAGAAACGACAGTTGGTTGCTTCACCACGACAGTGCTACAACCCGCACAGCTTTGATGGTCCGACAATTTTTAAGAAACAGCAACATGGTGTTTTCACCTAATCCATCCTACTCACCCGATCTGTCTCCTTCTGACTTTTTTCTTTTCCATGGTTGAAGAGAAGTCTGAGAGGAAAGCGATTCAGCGATAGGGAAGAAGTCAAAAGAAAACAAGCTAATGGCTTTAAACAGTATCTTGCCTCAAGTGTTCCAAAAATCTTTTGGGCAATAGCAAACGTGTTGAGGCAATTGCAATAAATTCCATGGGCAATACTTCGAAGAGTGTTAGTGTAAATTTCAAAATACAATAATAATATTAATAATAAATTCCGGTTATTTTGGGTTCCCCCTCATATTTAACAGGCAAACATATAGCCTACAAAAATTGGTAAAAACGAAGAATTTTAAATGTCAGACTCAAAATAAATTTAGCAATTTTAATTCTAGTATTCAATTTATCTCTAAAACCTTGAATTATAATTCAATACCGTCATTCCCAAAATAACTTTTGCTACGCAGAATTCCTCATCCACGAACATGAGTATATCAAATTTCTAAAATCGAATGGTTTTTATTTTGCGTTATTTCATGTTCTAAATAAATCGGCATTTTTATTGGAGCTCGTAAGATGCACTTTTCTACTTGAAATGATGAATCGACCAATCAAATCATCTACGTCGTATGAGTTGCCATAGAAACCGAGTGAGCTATGTCTTTTCTTTTCCAAGAGAATTAAAATTACCAGACATGGTTCAAATATGTCTGGACGGTGGAGTTCTTTGTTTTTATAGTTAATGGCTTCGATTTCAACAAATAAATAACTGATTATAGAGAGATAATCACTAACTTTTTTTTAAAATTCAAAATGTGTGTTTTTAAAACGGTGCTATTTATATTTGCTTCAACAAATCATTATACATTTTTCTGTAATAGTTATTAACCAAATTTTATTTTTCCTCCTGTATTATTTAAATGGATTCCGTGTTAAAGGTTTTATATGACAAGTTATTGGATGCTCCTTTTTTGAATAAATTCTTTTATATGACGTAATATTCTGATCTAAAATAAAATAATCTAATACAGATAAATCTACAGGGTCATTTTTAACCTCAAGGCACCCTAGGCACTGCAAATTGTTACGACCCCCCTCTCTATTTCTAAAACCTTGTGTTTTTTGGTTAGGCACAGGGATTTTCATTTCTCTCCTCTCTGCTACTCCTTTTCCTTTATTTATTTTTTCTCCTTGGACAGTGTTTTCATTATCTATGTCCTGGACTGGCAACCGGCTGTCATAAGGAAAGGATAGAAGCATAGTTTGGCCATTCTTGTTCATTTCTTACCTTATGGTATCACGCCCCCCATAGTAAATTAGAACAGTAACTTCATAAATAGAATGCAATAAAAGTATGAACATTATTACACGAACTGTTTTCTCAACTTGTTAATTATTTTTTCTATCTTTATCGTTCACTTTCACTAGACGTTAGTAAGTTCGCTGTAATTTAAATTTTTTCTCTTTTTTCCCTCTCTAATTCTTTGTGCCTGTGAATCTTTTGCGCCCTAGGTATGTGCCTAGTGTTCCTAAGCAGAAAAGCGGCCCTTTAAATACGTGTTACTTTTACTTACATTTACTAACTTGGGTTATTTTTAAAATGTTTTTATACAATGAAATAGTATCTTCTATCACCAACAACATAATACATTTTTAAAAAATTCGGTAAAAAATTTATATTTCTGGCTAAATGGATTTAAGTATTTAATAATGTTGCAGTTGAAATTAAATGAGGAATCTGAGGGATTGAACTTGTAAATTTGAAGTCAAGTGACGAAGTAGACACACGAGTTGACCTACCACTCTCCTATCTTTTAAATTACGGCAATGTGACACCTTCAACAATAGATAAAAATAAAAGGCCTTAGCCTGTCTATACGATAATCTTAAGAAATACGAGACGAGATACAATTAGTGTTTTGGGATGAACAGGCATTTGATAACAGGCATTGTAAAAATCAGCATTTTTTTATTTAATCTAATGTTTTATTTTATAAATATCTTAATGGCCAGCATTCAATAAGAGCGAAATCTTAACCACAAGAAGCCTCAAACCCCAAGGAATATGAAAGACTCACTTAAAGTATCCAACTACTCTAAAATCAAGACCTTTTTAAAAAATTAATTTTTTTTATGATTTTTTTTACCATATTCCCTCTTATTAGCTTTACAAAAATACCAATTTTTTTTTATTTTGTATTCACTAGAACAAAAACTACAAGTTTTTTAGTTAAAGCAGATGCCGTAGCTTTACATAAGATGTCAAACTTTAAAATGCGTTTTACTCGAAAGGCGTGTTTTTTGTTCAAAAAGTTCAACCGAGGACAGTGATTGCTCAAAAATGTTTTAAGTGTGTATGTTCTGTATAACAGTCGATGTGTATTAACCTTCATATTTATCAATCACTGTTTTCTTCGAAAATTTAGAATTTTTTTTAAGAATATAACCACTCTTCTTGTAAGCAATATCATATAATAACTTAGACAAAGTGCTCTAGTTTTTGTAAAATTAAAATATCTCTTATCCTGAAGGTCATTTCAAAAAGTAATAGCAAAGTAATGCATCAAAATTGAAGAATTGATAATTTGTTCATTTACTACTTGTACGGGGCGGGCCTCATTTATGTACTTTTTTGTCAATTTTTACCCATTTTAGTACTACTAATTTATTTTTCTCGCCTTAATTTTAGCCTTTTTGTCTTAAAATGTACTAAATAAATTTGAAAACCACAAAAAAAATCTCCATATCTCCCTTTTCTTAAAAAAAAGTTGTCGCAAGTAGTCGGATGCCTTAACTGAACTAGAAACCTCGAATCACAGCCAAGCGAGCTCTCAATCTAAACCAATTTTAAGCAGAATTCTTACGATAAAAGTTCACGAATTTCAATCTAACCCTTCAATTTCAATAATTAATATTCAAAAACTCTACTTACACCCACAACAGCAAAAACTCTCCTGATAGTCACATTCTCACCATCTTCACTTTAAGGCTTCTTAAGGCATGGAGCAACAAGGCTCGGACGCCACCCTCGGTGGAGGCCTGGTTTGTCTTAATAAGATCATGATCCGGATAATTTTAATGGTCAAACATATTCTCAAAAAAAACAGGGGATTTCTATAGACTATTATTAGATTATATTTTTCAAACTATATTACTGTGTGATTACCGTGGTTCATGTATAGGCCTAGGCCTAGTACCATACACAATCATTCAACAATAATCACCGCTGGTCCGAGCCTAGGGATGTGAGAGGAAGGGAAGGAAGACTAGCCATATCCAAAAACGACATATTTATTGATTCCCCAACGAGCAGCACTAATTCAAGTAATTTTAAATGAGATGCGCCA